CCAGCGTAATCGCGTGAATTGGGTGTTCCCGTGAGTGGGAGAAGCTGTCGGAGCTCTTCTGTCAGTGCCTGCTTGGTCAGCGGTCTCCCGGGGCGGTAGCGGAAGAGTGCGTCAGTGGCGTCAGACGGACAGACTGTAAAATATGCCAGGAGGGCGGCAACCGGGCAAGGTTGTGAAGTGGTACTACCGATTATCTGCATGGCCCTGACGAAGTTGGTCCGTCTTCGATTGCTTGATGTGGAAGCGGATATATGTGCGTCCTTGAGTGACATCCAGAGTCACATCCTGGCGCGTGGCATGAGTGGCAGGGTCAAACCCGGCTGGAGGCGCAGTGAATTCAGCGCATCGAAGAAATCCGAAGAAGGCGAGCACCATTGCCGCCTTGAGCATGCCCTTGTCCTGCTGGTGACGCCGTTGGTCCAGGCTGAGGAGCTTCCGCAGCAAATCAATGGTGATTGGGAGGCGAGTGCGCTGGATTGCCGGGTCAGTCGCCGTCCTCTTGATGCCTCGCATAACACGTGGCGGCAGCAATGCGTTCATCATTGGATCTCGGAATCCGGCTTCGAGATGCATGTTGCGTACTGCGGCCATGTAGACATGCATTGTCTGTGGTTGAACCGATTGTGTGCTGCGAAGCAACTTCGCATCGTGTCTGTAGCCGGCATGGGCGTCCATCTCTGCAACGCACAGAATTGCGTAAATTTCCTTTCGCCAGTGGCGTACGTGCGCCGTGTTGTCGGGGCGATTGCCATGGCTGCCAGGTCGGCGACCTCCTGCATCAGTCCAGGAGAGGGAGGCGGATTGCAGTGTCCGGGGCTTGCTGTGCCGATGGTGCCAGCTGCTGGAATGCCTGTCAGAGTGATACGGAAATAGGGCTTGGCGCGGCTAAACCTCTGGTTGATATCCCATAAGCGCCGCGTAAATGTTCTGCCTGGTACGACGACGCTCGACGCAAAGGAGAGTTTCCCCAGGAAGTGATCGAGTTTGCGTTGCGTGGTCTGGGTGCAGCGTGACAGCTCGCTGAGGAGCTCGCGGAGGTCCGTCGGTTTGTCGTCTGGGAGACGGGCTTCCATGCGCACCGTGTCCAGCACAATTCCGAGGAAGGCAGTAATGTGTGAAAGCGAACAGTGTTCAGGGGAGTGGAAGTCGGCTTACTTTTTCTCAGTGGGCTTCGAAGTCTTCTCGTGGCTATCTGCAGGGTGCTGCCACCTGAAGCGGGTGGTGCTGGTGCAGGATGTGGCGGCATGTCCTTTGTCTTCACATGAGCTGCAGGCGTAGAGACGGTCGCAGGGTGTGCGGGAACAGGGCCTGCCGCGGTTGAAGTTAAAACAGTCTTGGCGGGTGCTGCCCGCCACTGATGGAAAGGGCTGTGCGTGTTGAGCTGCGGCATGTGGGCAGGCAGCGGTCGCGGCTGTTTTGGAGCGTGCATTTGGTGCATGACAGACGGGGAGAGCGGAGTAGGCGAATACTCCACAGCGTCTGATTGATCACGTCCCAGCGCAGTGCCATGCTGGCGGTGTGTTGGCGAAATGCTCGATCATAGTTCAGCACAGGAGACGTCTGCATGACAGACGGGGAGAGCGGAGTAGGCGAATACTCCACAGCGTCTGATTGATCACGTCCCAGCGCAGTGCCATGCTGGCGGTGTGTTGGCGAAATGCTCGATCATAGTTCAGCACAGCAGACGTCGTGAACTGTTGGTTCGCAGTACAAAGTATGTGCTGGTAGCAGACGAGCTCATCAGCTCGGTCAGGACGAGCAAGAACGACGATGCCCATGTAGATCGTCCAGGCCTCCAGCCAAGCCGAGAAGTCGTTGATCGCGCGCGGCGCGCGTGTGGTTTGCGCTGAGGTTGAGCGAGAGCTGAGCCATGTCGCCGCCAGCTGTAACCAGTTGTATTGGCTCCTGTCCCTGGGAGCTGAAATTTTCCAGCAAGAGTTCCTCAAGTTCCACAAACTCTCCGCGCTGGATTTTTTCAATCGCACGACGTGGCGGTGTGGGTAGAACCGAGGGCTTGGAGAGACCTGGAGGTCCTGGCAAAGTCGGAGGTTCCGATAGAACTGGAAGTTCCGGGCAGGATAGGTCCGGAGCTTGACGTTCGGAGCGTGGGAGCGATCTTTCGGGTGCGGAGCGCGCGTGTGGGAGAGATCGGCTTCCAGATCAGACTCAGCACTGTCTGTTCTCCAGGCGTTCCACGCGTTCGAGGAGAGGGTGGAGGGCGTTCATCTTCATAACGGCTGAGGAAATGATGTCCGGGGAGAGCAATGAGGGCTCGTCCTGCATAGAAGCGTCGGTGCCTGGAGCGGGGTCAGAAGTCTGAACTAGCTGCTGACGGTGTGTCGGAGGCATCAGGCGCGAAGGCGCGCATGCCGTCAGTCCGCGCGTATGGCGAGGTCGAAGCCCTACCCGAGCGGCGACGGGTAACCTCGACGGCATACCCGCGTCCGCGTCCACGTCTGCTTCCTCGTACAGAGCCTCGTGGCATGGTGAAAGAGAGAGAAAGGGAGTGAGAAATGAGAAAGGAACAAACCGGTGTTCTTCTCACTACCCAAGCAAAGCAAATATGAAGTAGCAATACGGCCAGCGCGAAGTATGGTGTATGCGTTACGGGTTCAAGCTCCGATGTGTGCTGCAGCCGCATATGGCTGGTTGGCTGGCGAGTTCAGGTGAGTTCCGGCGTACGCATGTTACATGCCACCACAGCGTGCATGTACGTGTTACTTGACATGCATCAATGAATAGCGTGGGATCTGCGGGCTCTTTGGAAGCCGCTGGAGCGCGTGTGAAGTGGTGGCTTGTGCAATGTGTTAACCTACATTACCGCAAGCTCTAATGTGCTACAACAACAACAACAACAACAACAACAACAACAACAACAACAACAACAACAACAACAACAACAACAACAACAACAACAACAACAACAACAACAACAACAACAACAACAACAACAACAACAACAACAACAACAACAACAACAACAACAACAACAACAACAACAACAACAACAACAACAACAACAACAACAACAACAACAACAACAACAACAACAACAACAACAACAACAACAACAACAACAACAACAACAACAACAACAACAACAACAACAACAACAACAACAACAACAACAACAACAACAACAACAACAACAACAACAACAACAACAACAACAACAACAACAACAACAACAACAACAACAACAACAACAACAACAACAACAACAACAACAACAACAACAACAACAACAACAACAACAACAACAACAACAACAACAACAACAACAACAACAACAACAACAACAACAACAACAACAACAACAACAACAACAACAACAACAACAACAACAACAACAACAACAACAACAACAACAACAACAACAACAACAACAACAACAACAACAACAACAACAACAACAACAACAACAACAACAACAACAACAACAACAACAACAACAACAACAACAACAACAACAACAACAACAACAACAACAACAACAACAACAACAACAACAACAACAACAACAACAACAACAACAACAACAACAACAACAACAACAACAACAACAACAACAACAACAACAACAACAACAACAACAACAACAACAACAACAACAACAACAACAACAACAACAACAACAACAACAACAACAACAACAACAACAACAACAACAACAACAACAACAACAACAACAACAACAACAACAACAACAACAACAACAACAACAACAACAACAACAACAACAACAACAACAACAACAACAACAACAACAACAACAACAACAACAACAACAACAACAACAACAACAACAACAACAACAACAACAACAACAACAACAACAACAACAACAACAACAACAACAACAACAACAACAACAACAACAACAACAACAACAACAACAACAACAACAACAACAACCAAAACAACAACAACAACAACAACAACAACAACAACAACAACAACAACCAAAACAACAACAACAGCAACACCACCGTGAGAATATAGACTTCAAAAGTCAAAAACAACAACAACAACAACAACAACAACAACAACAACAACAACAACAACAACAACAACAACAACAACAACAACAACAACAACAACAACAACAACAACAACAGCAGCAAAAACATCAACAACTACAACAACAACAACAACAACCAAAACAACAACAACAGCAACACCACCGTGAGAATATAGACTTCAAAATTCAAAAACAACAACAACAACAACAACAACAACAACAACAACAATAACAACAACAGCAACAACAACAACAACAACAACAACAGCAAAAACATCAACAGCAACAACAACAACAACAACAACAACAACAACCAAAACAACAACAACAGCAACACCACCGTGAGAAGTTTTCATTTCTTGTTGGCTGAGTTTTACGAAATAAACAAGAAATGTTGTTCTTTTCGAACGAACAGGTCTGGGACCGAGGTCCAACAGTTTTGGGCGTACTGGTACGCCGCAGTCCCTCATCTTTTGTTTTCTTGCTTTGCAAGCTGGTTGCCTTTTTCTGGACTCCCTTGATTTCGTCAGTCGTAGATCTACCTGCCTTTCCGTTATGCCTCCAAGGAAATCCAAGGCCCCCTCGGCAGCGCAGCTGGTACCTCCAAGGAAAAAATCCAAGGCCCCCTCGGCAGCGCAGCTGACCGTGGAGCTCAATGCAATGAGGGAGAAGTTTGAGGCGGAAAAGGAAGAGAGCGCCCTGAGAATCAGGCTCCTCGAGGGACAGCTGGAACGGGGAAATGAGTCGTCCTCGTCCAAGCGTAAACGCCGTAATGTTTCTGTGTCGTCGTCGTCTTCATCTTCTTCGTCATCATCTTCTTCATCGTCCTCGTCATCAGATTCGTCTGACTCGTCGGATGACTCCCGCCGGAAAAGAAAAACCAAAAAATTCAAAAAATCGAAGAAGTCGCGAAGATCCTCCACCTCGATGTCAGCGCGAAAGTGGAAGACAAGGTCTTATGAAGTGCAGCACGGCCTGA